GACTGAAGACTGAGCCTTTCAAAAAGAAGAGAAAGGAATTTAAAGTGGATTTATCAGATCAAGGTTAAATTGTCCACATTTTGATTTTGGATTAATATTGAATTTTCTTTTTCTGACCAGGACTGTTAAGACGATTTATACCTGTAAAAGTGATTTATTTGGTTTAGCTTAAAACACATCCGTGATTATTATTGGTCTTTTGTATGCTTAAGAGGAGAGATCTTTTAGGTTTCACTTCTCAGAAAAAACTTAGAAGTTAAAATGCAAAATTGACCTATTTGTTTAAGCTTAAAATTTATAGTTTATTATTACTGGCATTCTTAATCCTTTTGCTGATTAGACTGATTGTTGAATATTTTTTACAATTTTGTTTATTATTTAGGGATGAGAAGGGGGATAAAGAGGGGTTTTTTTTAGTAATAATAGAGAAGGTGTTAAGTTACTGTTAATACATATACTTGTTTGGAGGGAGGGGAAGTGATCTTTCTTTCTTTCTTTCTTTCTCTTTCTGTTTGTTTGTTTGTAGGTTTTTTAGTTTTGTATTAGTTTTTATGTACATAAACTTTAATAAAAATATTAAACAAAAATTCTTAAAAAAACTAGGAAATAAAAAAAAGAGCTCATGCATTTTGTGCAAAATGTCTCAGATTCAATCCTTAAAAACATTTCCAGATAGTGCTGGAGAAGATCTCTGAAATCTTGGAAGTCTGGTCCTGGTTCAAAACTTTTTATAGAAAACAACTACGTATTCATAAGCTAAGCATGTGCCTTGAAGGCTTGGAAATCATAATGGAAAAAGCATGAAATTCAAATGAACTATATTTTAAACCTTAGGATTTCCAGTGATTTCAAAAAGTTAATTCATGAGAATAATCATTCAGACAGAATCAAATTTTCTGCCTTGTGTAATATAGTTGGAGAACACTCAGGCTTTATGTTAAGTAAAATCTATTATTGAAATATTACAAGATAGTACATCAAATTAGGCCTTTTAGTCATGTCACAGGCATTATGCAGCAGCAGATTACAAAACTTGTTCAGCCATATTTCTTATGGCAATTTCTAGAGTTAGAAATGCATACCAAGAAAATCGGTCTTTCCATGACAACTGTGCAAGACACGAGCAAAACTGTATGTTTATTTCAGATTCAGAGAACAAGTCATTTTGCAAGCTCTTTAGAAAACCATCCAAAGGTTGCAAATAAAAACAAACAAAGCAAAACACAGAATCATTTTTCAATCTGAACGAGGGAGAGATTCTTCAATATTCTTGTCGGAGCAAACATAGTTAAATATTTTCTGTATTTGTCTATGAGCCCCAGCAAAACATCAAACACACACATCAGGTAATACTTTCCATCTTTTTTCAAACAATAGTCACTCTTTCAGGTTCCTAATGCAGATATATAATGCCATAGATATTTCAGTGAAAAAGACTACTGTTTGTATGACAGGTTCAGTGGTCCCTATCACTCTTACCTGTTTGCTTCTGATATTTCTTATCCAGTTTGAACTCCTTCGGTTCCCCTATGCTTGGTCGCTCTAGGAGTTTTTTTGCTGTTCCTAGTCCCAGCAACTCATCTAGCCTGGATCGGGCAGGACGAGGTTCCTTTCTTTAATAAAGAAATACAACCATGTTATGCTTTAAAGAATCTGGGGATGACAGGGAAATACTGACTTTTCTCAGCATTTCTAGTTTGTATCCCAGCTTTTACTTCATGGCTGACAGTAGCAGACTGAAAACACATAGGCAGTTTCTGCCTAATGCTAGGAAACTAGAATATCAGGTGACAGTTTCCAGAAATCCATAAAAGTCTGCCTTGATCCCACTATACCAGTAAGAGGTTAGATGCAATCTATAGACTACACTGGGAAATGTACTTCTCTTTCCTCGTAACTAGGACTGATCAGTGGCATTGTTTAGGATACAGGTAGTCCTCACTTAATGACCCTAATTGGGACCAGCAACTCTGTCGCTAAGCGAAGTGGTCTTTAAGCAAAATATGTGACCGCCCCACTTAGCAACGGCAGTTCTGGCAGTCCCAGTTGTGATCATTAAGCGAATCACCAGAGTCATTAACTGAGACCTCAAGTGACCACTACTTGCAATTTCCTCCCAGTTTCCCCATTGACTCTGCTTGCCAGAAGCCAGTTGGGAAGGTTGTAGATGGCAATCATGTGACCATGGGACACTGCAACTGTCGTAAATGTGCAAACAGTTGCCGAGTGCTCAAATCGCGATCCTGTGACTGCAGGGACGCTGCAACAGTCGTAAGTGTGAAGACTGGCTGTAAATCACTTTTTTCAGTGCTGTTGTAACTTTAAACAGTTGCTAAACTAATGGCCATTAAGCAAGGACTACCTGTAATCAACAATTGGGAGAATTTTAAGGAGGTTAATTAAGTCTTAGAAGTTGGTCCTCCTCTTATGCTACAAAAAAATCAATGGTGGTAGTATGAATTTGCTCATAATTCATCCTCCTTCAATCAAGTGCCCTTTATATTTACTGGAAGTGCAGTTGCCGGATTTCCCAGGCTTTTGGCTATGCCAGTTATGGAAAGCTACCTTAATTTACTCCAAATGTGAAACCACTGAAGTATTTTGCATATCCATTAATGCCATGACTCCTCTTCCAAAGAAAGAAATTAGTCGCTCATTTTATTTATTTGACAAATTTATATGGCCGCCCACTTCACACAAAGTGACTCTGGTTGGTGAAGAATACAACCAACAATTAAAAACTTTCTACAAAACCAGTTAAAAACAATTAAAACAATTGCTGTAGGGTGAACAGAGACAGCTCATTTTTTTCAGTGCATGCTGTCTTTTTCTACCTACAAGGCATTCAAAGTGGCTAACAATTAAAAATAAACATTTAAACCTGTTCAAAAAAGATAAATTCTAATCAATCTAAGCCTAAAGGTCTGGCTTACTCTTCACTCTTCCTGCCAGATTTCACTTCTGCCTTCGAGGTTTCACCAAACCCCAGAGCATCCATGAGATCCTCTCCATCATCTTCAAACGTTAATTCCTCTCGTTTTTGGTCCGGGGCAACAGCACAGCCATGAACTGCAGGTACAGATGTATCCAATACATGGACAGATTTTCCAAAAATAAGCTCTGATTTTACAGCATTAGTTGAAAAGTTATGAATCTTCCACCAATTCAGAAAAAAAAATTAAACTGATTATACCCATAATGTCACTAATGAAACATTTTATATCAGTTAAATGATCAATCTCATGGTTTGTATATTGTAATATGGTGTTTTCTTGCCTTGTTTCTATATTACCCTATCCCTCTGGAATTGCTCTACTTTTCTTCTCTCACATTTCAGTGGTAGTATATTAATGTATTCTAAGTTGTCCTTCTGTTTCCAAATTCAATGGGTGCATTCACATGCAATGCTAAGCATAACCTATCTTCAATACACATTCCAAAAGCATGTTGGCCGTAATTTAAAAGTCCTAATCTGTCCCAGCCAGTAAGACAGCTATCTCTGTGGTGGCAAGCTGTAATGGTCTGTGGGAATACCCTTGAAAGATGGGAGGAGGAAGAGCTGCAGCCAGGGCAATGGTCAGATAAGAGACATCTCAGCCCGCTGAAGGAATGGGGACGTGGAAAGCATCTCAGAAGGGACTCTCCCTAGTTCCCTGGAAAGTAAAGGCAAGGGATGGTGGGGGAAGAGATGTGCTTGCAGACTTGCAAGATTCTGTTACTGTCACTTTACAATAAAGATAGTGTTAGTACCTATGGTTTCTTGTCTGGAATACCTTGAAGGGCTGACATGAGCCAGTTGTCATTTGCAAGAAGGGAATGAATGCACTCTATATGGGGCTGCCATTGGAGAGTATTTGGAAGCTTCAGTTGTTGCAAAATGCAGCTGCGTGGGCAGTTATGTGCACACCTAGATCTGCGCACATTACACCTTTGCTCCTCGAGCTGCATTAGTTACCAATTTGCTTCTGGGTCCAATTCAAGGTGCTGGTGACATCTACCCATCCCATCAGGTAGAGCAGAAGAGGCTTGTTGTGGGTTCTGTCCACTAGAGAGTGTCATCTGGCAGAACCCAGGAGGAGGGCCTTTTCTGCTGCAGCACCTGCCCTATGGAACATCCTCAAGCCCCGACCTTGATGGCCTTCCGGAACGGCCTGAAGACCTGGTTTTGCCATCTGGCCAGTGGTGTGGGGCCCATAAAATGGCTGTATGGTCCACGAATTACTGTGCCCTCCTAGTGATTGTATTGTATAGGTTTTAATTGTTTTAACAATTGTTAAAATTGGTTTGTACTGTTTGTATGGTTGCTTTATTTTTTGTTTGGGGGGGGCATTGTTTATGTTTTAATTGGAAGCCACCTAGAGTCGTGAATGTGAGATGGGCGACTACGTACATCGAATAAATACATATATACATATATACACATACATACATACATACATACATACATACACACCATGCACTTATGGCCAAAACAGGGTGAAAATTACCCTGTGCTTGGTGAAGGAGGGTAGAAAACCTGGGGCAGCAAAAGTAGTTTTTCAATAGTATGTGCTCATTTGGTTCTGTCTGGAGGCCAGAAGGAGGAGTAAAGTGTGACTTATTGCGTTACGCAGACTCAATTAAAAGGATATTTGTTTGTTTAGAATAACTGCAGTTATGGCACCAGGCTATCCAGGGTGATGCCAAAATGCCTATGAGGCTTTTTCAGGTGGTGGTGGTGGGGGAGATAGCTGAAGCTTTAATACAAAGCTTTTTTTTTTTTTTTGGAAGATCTTGCCTGTATTATTTCTTGTTCAACACAGATGACATATTAATATGAAACTGCTGTGTCAGTAATTTATATTTTCTTAGAAGACATTAATTACTGATTTCTGTTTGCTATTCTCTTTCCATTTTTCTGTACTGAATTATTACTATTATTAATCCCTTTTTTATATATATTGGTCAACTCAAGGCAGTGAACATATTTAATACTCTTGCCTCCTCCTGTTTTCCCCACAACAACCCTGTGAGGTGGGTTGGGCTGAGAGTGTGACTGGCCCAAAGCCACCAGCCAGCTTTCATGCCTAAGTGAGGCCTAGAACTCACAGTCTCCTGGTTCTAGGTCAGCGCTGTTAAAGGCACCAGGCTAGAAACTGGGAGACTGTGAGTTCTAATCCCGTCTTAGGCCCAAAGCCAGTTTGGGTGACCTTGGGCCAGTCACTCTCTCAGCCCTAGGAAGCAGGTAACGGCAAACCCCTTTTGAAATCTTGCCAAGAAAACTGCAGAGACTTGTCCAGGCAGTTGCCAGGAGTCAACAATGACTTGAAGATACAAACAAAACCCCCTGAAATATAGAAATATCCTGTCCTTACTGAACAAGAGCTGCATATGAATGAACATTATAAAAGGATTCTGGCAATGGGAAAGGTCAGGGACAAGCTATCAAGCAGCACACTTAGTTCTTCTAAATTACTTAAACTACTGTTTAAGTTCTTCTTTCAGATATTTGTGGAAGACCGTAGCATCAGCAACACTAAAGGGCTTTACTGTACAAGTTCCAACTTGTTTTCAAATATAAAGCTCTATATGGATATTCACTGATTTAACAATTTAACCCCAAACCCTTTCAGCCAGACAAATCAGGCTGCTGAACCTCATGAGGCTATACAGAAATAATAAAATGATTGCTGTCATAACCATCTCCTCAAAAAGTTGTCTGCAGAAACTTTTTAACTAGACTTGAATCTAATGGCCAATTGTCCAGGTGTCCCCAAATCCCAATCCGCTTGATATTGTGCAGGAGAGTAAGAACCAGTACTTTGTGGGCATCAGGTTGGCTGCCATGGAAAACAGGTACTAAACTAGGTAAGTCATTGACCTGAATCAGCATAGCTTTAGGTTTGGGCACAAAAAAGCAACTATCAGCATCCACTTCCATTTTATTTGTACAAAAAACCACTTTATAGGTAGTCCTCGCTTAATGATAGTAATTCAGGCCTGCAATTCTGTTGCTAAATGATGCGGTTGTAAAGTGTGACGTCACATGACCACACCGACTTACAATGGCATATGGAGCAATTCCAGTTGCCGTTGTTAGGCGAATCCTGCAGTCACAGCATCCCACAGTCACGGAATTGCCATTTGCAACCTCCTGATGGCTTTTCCACTGACTTTGCTTGTTGGAAGCTTGCAGCGTAGGTCACAAATGGCAATCACATGACCGCAGAATGCTGTGATGTCATAACTGTCAGCTGATTGCCAAGCACCCAAATTGTGATCACGTGACCATAGGGAAGCTGTGACAGCCACAACTATGAGGACCCATCGTAAGTCCCCCTTGTTCAGTGCCATCATAACTTCAAGTGGTCACTGAACGAGTGGTCGTTCAATGAGGACTACCTATAATTAGTCCTAACAATGCACTCTGAAGAAGCCAAAGTAGTCTGAAGCAATGCAGTTCTGGGACCATATTTTACCTTTCTCATTAGGGGTTCCGCTGATTTCTGGAGTATTTTTGGTGATGGAAGAATGTGTTTTCTTCACTGTGCTCTCTTCATCATCAGACAGAAGGCCAGCCAAAGGATCATCTATAGCTAGAAAAAGTACAAGTCTATGAACTTTAGGAGAGCAGTAATTTCAAAACAAGCAGAGCTGAAGTAAATGCAAAGAACTGGTATGGGATTAGGAGATTTTATAGCCCAGATATTTTCCTATTTATTAGGCCCAAATTCAAACCACCAAGAGGGTTAACCCAGCACAATAGTCTTAGGATACTTCTACATAAAGAAAACTGACTAAAGTTTAAGGAAGCTACCATGAAACCATTTTTAGCAAAATACAGGCAATCCATGGTTAACAGGGTAATTGGGACCGGAATTTCTGTGGCTAAGTGATGCAGCCATAAACAGCGATGTCATCATTAAGCAAGGATTGTGGTTCATTAAGTGAGGATTTCCTTGCAACTTCCTGCCGGCTTCCAACAAGCAAAGTCAGAGGGGAAGCCGGCAGGAAATTGCAAGTCCCAGGCGGCTTGCAAGCAGGCTACTGCTGGGTGTGTGAAGGTGTGCGAGGGGTCGGTGCAACACAGCACAAGTGTGGCAGGGCTTGGAGTGGCTGCTGCAGAATGCAGGAGGGGCCAGCACGGTGTGAACGCAGTGGGGCTTGGGGTGGCTGCTGCAGGGTGGGGGAGACTTACTGAATGACGTGCAAATTTCCCTGCCATTTCCATTGACTTTGCTTGTGGAAGCTGACAGGGAAGGTTGCAAATGGTGATTACGTGACTGTGGGACACTGCAACTGTTGTAAGTGTGAGCCAGTTGCCAAGGACAGTTGTAAGTACCATTCTTCATAACTTCAAACGGTCGCTGAACAAGTGGTCATTAACCAAGAACTACCTGTAATGTGCCAAAATAAAACTCAGAGTTTTTTTCCCTATATTATGGGAGACCATGATTTTATACACAAACAATTCATTCTGTCTTTCTGCAAAAAAAAATGTCCTCCTTGCTTTAATCCTCACAATAAATCAGCAATTATTGTCAACGTAGGCTCAAAGGTTAGAGGGAGAGTGCACCTTTAATCTGCAACCCAGTTGGGCAATCTGTGATCTTTTGCTTTACTGTATGCTTTCCAGAATACTGCTCCTGTGCTAGATGGTTTCTGTGCATGTATGTGTTTTTGTATGTGTACAGGGGGCATTTGAGGGAGGGAGGGAGGGAGGTTTTATAGACTGTACCACACTTAAGAGAGAAAAAAAGCAAAACAAAAAAAGCCAGTTTGGTGTGGTGGTTGAGGTGTGGGCCTAGAAACCAGGAGACTGTGAGTTCTAGTCCCACCTTAGACATGAAAAACTGTCTGAGTGACTTTGGGCCAGTCACTCTCTCTCAGCCCAACTCACCTCACAGGGTTGTTGTTGTGGGGAAAATAGGAGGAGGAAGGAGTATTAGCTATGTTCACCACCTTGAGTTATTTATAAAAATAATAAAGGTGGGATAAAAATCTAAAAAAAATGTTGAAGAAAGAATATGGAGAGCCAACATGTGAGTCGCAATTCAACATATCTAGAAAGCAACAGGCAAATGTAGTTTGTAATAGGGTAACACTATCTATGGTTTCTGTATTTGAAGGATATTTATAGCAAAAAAAGTTCAGAGTTGGATTGACTGTTGGTGAGATATAAATATTGTCACATACTAGTCCTGTGTTTCCAAATTCACTTTGTGTTCAAAACTAACTTTAAAAATATATTCTATGCAAATTGATCCTACCTTCAAGGGAGAAACGTTTCTGTTGTTTGGAGGTAGAGGGAACAGAACCAAGATCCTTACTGATTTCACCTACAGAGTCTCCTAGTGTAAAGGTTATTGTTTATTAAAAAAAATAAAGGCATAGTAGATATTGTCATCAAGGTATAAAGGAACTTATTAGCCTCCAGTTGTTTTAGATTATAGTACCCATACTTCCAAGCTGCCATGGCCAGTGGAGTCCAACACAAGTTTGGCAAGGCAAATCTAAAGAATTCACAAAGTTGAGATAATTCTGTGAGGTTGGGCTGTGGCGTGAGTGCACTCATAGTACTTATCAGCAACTCCTTAAACCAAACATCTGTTTCCAGGATCAAGCTACAACTGCACAGGGCAGCCACAGCCCGGAAAAGACACAGCTGCTTTACAGATTTGCAAAGAGGTGCTACATGAGAGACCCTGCATGCTCTGATGCACCTTTCTGTTTTTGACTCCAAAGCATTCCACAGCCCTCACAGATACAACAGCTTTTCTAACAAGCTCCTTTTCTAGATGTTTTAGCCAGCCCCTTTTTGAGGGGCCCCTATTTTGGTGCCAGGGTGTAGCACACAAGCGCCCTCTAAATGTCAAGGGCCCCTTAGCAGTCTCTGTGGCACCGGCAGGAGACAGCTGACTGGCATTATTCAGGTTTGTCCTCATTTATATCCAGACTTTGCCTAAGGAATTCAGCATGGTGAACTTGCAGACATTCCTGTTTCAGTTTCACAATGCCAGCTGGGTTTCATGGATTAGTGTTGAGTCAGTCAGGGTAAAGTGTTCATCACAGATAATGTATCAAGGACACAAAGAGGGTAACAGAAGTACCACTAAAAAAAACCCTACCCTAATATTTCAGTACGGAAATAGCATCCGTTGTGTCCCAAGACATCGGCGTTATTTTGAAAAATGATGCAAAAGGAAAGACACTCACCTTTTTCTGTGATGGTTGCTGTCTTAGCAGATTTGGCTGGCTCAGCTAAAGGCTCTGCTGTTCCTTTACCTTTAACAGGCTTCTGAGGAGATCTTGCGCTTGTTTTCTTTATGCCCAAAATATCAGCCTCCATCTCATCCATATCCTGGTGGGAGAGAAAACATATGTTGATCTTTTGTGCACTGGGGACCACAATTTAACCATGGCTTACTAAACGGGCCAGAAATATGCTAGGGTCTGGCTTTCTGATGAGTAAAATATCCATGGCTTGTTTGGACAATTTCCAGTTTCTATTCCCTCCTTTTTAGTTGCGTTATCTTTTGCACTCCTATTAACTGGATCAAAAGCTTGGGAGAGACACATAGCAAAACTAAAAACATTCCAGCAGACAATAAATAAATTGTGTCTCCTTATTCACAAAGCATGCTAGGCAAGAGCTGTATTCATTATGCTAGCAAATCATGGTTTGCTATCCCATCCCACTCCTACCTCCTATTTGCACATCATGCTAAAACAAAAAACAAACAAACCATTTCTTGGGTCTGTGAGATGTGTGTGCTCAGCATTTTTACACCATTTGCGGGACACAGTAAACTCAGTTTATTTATATGGTGCAAGTTGTATCCTCCAGTTTACCTTCAAGGTCTCTAGAAGCGCTTCTGGATCTACATCTGAGATATCAGGATCCTGAGAGGAGAACAAATAAATAATAGATGACGCTTCAATGGAAAAATGTCAAATAAATTCTGCATGACCATTCAAGACAATAACCTGGGCATATTCAGCAGAATTCATCAGTCATCATTACTAGCTACAACTGAATGATCCTTTGCATCCTGTATTTTCAAAGAAAGAACCTTGGCTGTTATATATTCTCACCTCCACATCTGACCCTTCCTCAACAGCCATTTTGCTAAAGAAGTCATCCTCCAGAAGGCCCCTGGAAATAGAGAGGAAAAGATTGAGGGGAAGAATGGATCCCACCCCAAACTGCACTTGTTACAGGTTTTACCAAAAGTCCCTAGACCACTCAGACATTTTGACCAAGGAGGAGTTTCCAAAAGTCATTTCAGTTTAGAAGAATTTTATTAGCAACTCAGCTTAGGAAAGATCCATCTATATATACAGTTCACACCGAGAAATGTTAAAGAGAAGAGAAAAAACAATAATAATATGTTCAAGAGGCTCTCTTAGTCCTACCATCATTCTGTACCCTGAATGTGTTCAATATTGAAGTTCAATGCCATTACGTACCTTCTGTTGGCCTGTGGCACAGTTCCTCTGGCTTTCCCCTCAGTGCTACCAAATGAGGCAGGTTTGCCCGATTTAATGGGAGCGTCATCTTAAAATGAGAGGTGAAGATGTCGCAAATTTAAGTACAGACTGTATCCTTTGCTCTATGAGATCCATTCTATCTAATTGGTATTCTCAGCAAAGTAGGTACTGAGTAAAAACAGACTCAGTATGGAGGAAACTAGTTCAAGTCCACTTGGACCTATGAAATTTTAGTCAGTAACTTGAGCCAGTCCCTCTCATAGCCCAAACGACTTCTCAAGGTGAAAAACTGAAGAACAGCAAGTAGAGACATTAATCTAACAAATTAATTACTTAGTAAAATATTGGGCCTGAAAAGGTAAGGATGAAGTTCATGAATAGGCACCGTGGTTATACCTCAACATTTGTCTCATTGCACAGCTGCTATGAAGTAGGTGATGTACAAAATCCATCCATACAGAAACATGTAAGCCATGTATTTTCCCTAAAATAGCACTTGATAGCTTACAAAATTAAAAACAGTATACCCATAAAACTATATTAAAAGAACATACGAAAAACAATGCTAGTAGCACAGTAACTGCAGGAATAAAAAGAACATGACTTGGGTCTCACATCATACAAAATGTAATTTTAACCATGGTTTGAACACGCCATAGCCATCTAATTCACATATAACTTTATGCTAAAAGCCATAGTCTACAAACTAAAAAAAGCTAAATTCACACATCACAATAAGCCAGAACCAAATAAAGCACATTATGATTTAGCTTGATGTATGAACTCAGCCAGTTAAAAGCTATGCATGTAATACCATGTACTAACTTAGCATCCATGCATGAACAGAAAGAAGTCTGTGAGAAGCCTTGGGATTATACATCCCCTCTCTTCTTTCCTTTTCCTGCACAGCCAGGAGGAAGAAAGTAATAGCAATTAATTTTATGTCAACAGACATCTATATATGGTAATGTGGACTATAGGTTAAATGACACCCTATTTGATTATTAAATAAGCATCCTTTTATTTTGCATCCTCAGTTTACTAACTTATTTGAACAAGAGAGTTTATTTTAAAATATATATCATGGTTTGCACAATCCAGAAAGTAAAACCAAGTCCTGGTTTATTCTTTCTCTTGTCTGTAGTAGAATGGTGTGAAAAAGTGGGAGTGTGTTGTTTTGCAGAAGCTTCCTTCTCCTCATGAAAACAGTGCTAAATTTTGGTTTAGCAAAAGGGTAGCAAACTGATCATTTTTAGGTGTTTGGTTTTAACTCTGCTTATAGCGCCAAATGTTATAATGCTGTTAAGATGTGGCTCTTTCCCCAGGCATTGGACAAGGATGGGTGTTGAGTCCAGCACATGTATATTTGGGATCAGAATGTTATGGTGCCGTGCTTATGTGATATGGTTTTATTTTTCTGTGTTTTGTTATTTTTGTATGTTATTGCGAGCCACCCAGAGTTATATTGTATGAGGTAGTTGGCCATATAAATCTTTAAATCAATCAATTATAATTTAGTAGCCACACTGATTGGAGCTTTATGAAACTGTCTCCAAATAACAGATGGCACTGGATTTCATACCTCTTGTATAGTATTATTTGTTAAAGCAACCAAGATCGTGGAAGTCATTATCAAAAGAGGGAATTCCTCTGATAAAATAATTACAGAAACAGCATGCTTTCCAGTAGCCTCCCATCCAAACTCTAAAGGGGGAAGGGAAGGCATATGGTGCAGAACTTCATTTGAAGCTATTCCTTCATAAGCAGGTTCCTATTATATTTTATTTTTTCTTTCCACTTTACCATCATCACCAAGGAGATCACCAAGGACATCATCAATGGAACCTAGAACAAACAGAACAAAGTAATGAGTAAAAAATTTCTGAGATGGCTGAAGAAGTTCAAGGCCAGATTTTCAGGAAGACCACAGACAGCAGTTGTGAATAACAAAAATAAAGTCAAGTCTACATGGAAATCATGTAGACAGAATGGAGCCAAATGGAGTGATTACACCAGAAAGTGCTACAGATTGTTGTGAAAAACTGGTTCCATTTGGAATCAACAAGGAAGGATCAACCCACATCCTCTAGCCTACCATATCAGTGTAGATTAGCTACCCAATGTATGAAGTACGAGTGATTAAGTAAATCATGCTTTACTCATGTGTCAAATTTTGCTCCTGAAACTCACTTATCCTGTAACAATAAAATAGTATTGTATTATATTTGGGAGGTTTTTTTAATATTGCCTCAAATCCACAGAGCAGACTTGACCATCCAGCTTTTTGGAATGAAGCCAATTAAATAACTGTGACAGAAAAAGTAATATATTGGCCAATTAATTTAATATATCTTAATATATTTATATTAACATATTTAATATATCTGTGTTAACAAAAGCTGAGCTCTTACATGTGCTATGTTATCATTTGTTTTAGCCACAGTAGTTGAAATCCATAATAAACTGGATGCACACAGTTCAGTAAGCCATATATCGTAGTACCCAAATTAGAATGGTTAGGTTCACATCAAGACAAAAGCAAACAAACCATACTATGATTTAGCATATGTGACCCAGTTATAATGCTTCCTGTTCCTTCTTAATCAGCACTTGAAATAGGTTGCAGAGGCAGAACTGGTTAGCACCAAGGATAACTGTGATGCAAGCTGATAAACATTATGCAAGCTATGACAAGGAAGCATTGCCAAACAGCAACACATACCTTCCAGTGAGCCAAAATGTCTGCACTAAGCTTACAGCTTCTTTTTCAACTCTCTTGCCTTATGTCACCTACATAAAATAATTATAGGATGCTGTTCACATCAAAACTTGTATAACAAGGCATGCAGTACGTAATAGAAAAAGCTACGTAGTTACTTTTCCTTTTGGCCTTTGAGTCAGTCTCGACTCCTGGTGACTGCATGGAGAAGTCTATTCAGTTTTTGTGGCAGCATTTTTGGAAGTGGTTTGCCATTGCCTGCTTCCTGGGGCTGAGAGAGAGAGACTGGCAGGACTAGAACTCACGGTTTCCGGGTTTCTGGCCTGGTGCTTTAATCTCTACACCAAAATTGGCTCTCATGTAGTTTCATAAGACTCATCAAAACACAGTAGAAGGAGCCCTTTGGCACAGAGATGAAACAAACAAGAGAACAATTGGCTGCCCCATATCTGGATACATCCTTCAAAGCCCCTTCTGGAGCTCCTAGAGTCCCTTCCAACCACAGCTGCTAAAAATTGGTGGTAGAGTTTTCTGATATTTTGAGGTAGGAAACATTTGAACATTGTAGCATAAGTCACAAATTTGGTTTAATTTAGTTTTTAAAAAAATCAAAGGAAAGCCCAGTTTCCCCATCCTATTCCTGCTCATGAGCATAATACGGCCCTGCCCGCTCCAGTTTTTATTTCTCGAAAATTATTAGTGCAGCCTTCCCTACAGTACACCCTTAATCTAAATGATAACTATAGGGATTTAATTAAATGCATTAAAATACTGGTAAGAAAAAGCTTTGGATGTTTTATTAGTCCATTTGGAAACAGAATTCATCAGGAAGATAGTGCTATTATTATGCAACTGCCATTGAGAAATGCCTGTCTTTCATCCACTCAGCCCAACTGGTCTTACTAGGAGGCACAGGAACAGAATCTCCAAAACTGCTCTTGATATGGGCTCTTAAAACTGGCTCCCACTGACATTGCAGGATCCATTGGATCAACCTGGGAGGCTAATACCCAACAGATCTTAAGAAAGCAGAAACACAAATGCACTTACTTCTTAATCCTTTCTTACGTTTCGCTGCCTAAATGAAAAAAAGGATAAATACTCGGTTAGAAAAATGAAAGCAGAGACAGCAACTTGTCAAACCTGGATTAACTCTGGAGGTAAACAAATACAAAAACCAAGAGTTATGAACCTTTGGTTCTCTCACTTGTAAGTCCCGAACTGAATACTATTTTAAGGTCAGAATTCATTAAGTTTTCTTATAATTCTAAAACGCTTTAAAGCTATTATGCTAAAACTGGATTTAATCTAGATCAGTTTGCCTAAATATAAATTACATTTTATTTATACTAATGTGAATACTTTTTTACCTTGCAAAAAGAAACACAGTTCTACTTCATTGATGAAAATATGGCAGCTTCCCACCCCGGTACTTTGCAAACATATCAGATACCATTCTGCATAATCTCCAGAGGTCTTGGAATTATCAGACTTGACGGCTAAGACATCTGAAGGTTGCCTGATTGGGTGAAGGCCACTTTTGATATCGTTCCGCTGCTTCTGACTCTTCATGACCAAATGGGCGATCTATATTTTAATATTTTGGCTAGACTTGTCATAGTCTTTCTTAGAAGCAGATGTCTCTATTGCATGGATACAGTCACCATCCCTGTGGATTCGAGTCCAGGAAGATAAAACCTGTTATTGCTTTGCACAACTTTTTCAGTAATTTGCATTGGGTTAGCACTAGCAGTTGGCACATTTGTAGGGCTTTTTTAATACTGAGCAATAGGCCAGCTTCTGCATTTTCATCTTTTACCTTTAACAACAGATTCCTTAAGTCTTCCTCACTTCCAGCTACCAAAGTGATATTGTCAGCATGTCTGAGTTGCTGGTCTTTCTTCCAGCAATCTGACTTCCAACTTTTGTTTCTTCTACTGTCATGAGCATTTCTCATAAGATAAATTCAGTTGAATATGGAATTCCAAATTCTGTCCTTTGCTAACAAGATAGCTATCAAGGTAAATAATTGTCTTGATTCACGTGGGATTCTATGTTACATGAACACAGTGATTTTTGTAATAAACAAGAGAATAATGACTAGATGTCAAGACAGTTGCTAAACAAGAGACTCCAGTGAATTTTATTTCAAAACAATTAAGTACTAATGCAATCCAAAGGAACAGTGTGTTTATCTATTGAATATATTTTCCACAGATTTCATCCTAGACTTATGGCATGACTTACTATGCGCTAAGTGCAACGGAAAATACATAGGACAGCCTGTTTATTAGTTATACTGATTAAAATACTGGCATGAACAGTTTCATTGACGTATTCATAAGCCTGGATTGTAAGGATTTTATGGGAACAGAGTTAGAATCAAGACATGATGATGCAGGATCAGTTCCAACAGAGAGACCTCTCCATTAGAATCTCTCTGTGTACATGGGGTCACCTCTCTCTTAATGAGGGATGGACAATGTAAGACCCACTAAAAATTGCTGAATTTGAACTTTCATCAATTTTAGCAAGCGTGGTTGTAAAGAAAGATGTAAGGTGCAGCCAATATCCTCTAGGAAACTATGTATTGCCCACCCTGCCCTAAAGAGACATGCTGAAAAGATGCTTGGAGTCCCTGTTTTCGTGATGGTTAAATTGGCTGGAACATAGAGCATGCCATTCTACACTATGCTATGATCCAACATAATCAGTTGATCACTATGATCATTCTTACCATATCATGGTCCCCAGTTGCATGCTGTATCACTCTCAAATGATTCTCTCAGGTATTCTTCATGTATATACCTTAAAATTTCTCCAGTCTTCCTCACCTAAAAATGCAAAATAAGAATTCAACTTCAATTTATAAGGGTTTTTAAAGAAATACACCGGTCGACGTTTAGAATCTTGTAGCAGCATTTTAATCTTGCAAGAGGCCCTATGACACACTGATCCATTAAATAGCTGACCACATTATAGCCTAGTATGTTGTGAGATCCCACCATGGCTGTTTGTATAACATTCAACATGGTTAACTCAATTAACCCTGCCTTTGCATGAGTCAGTGAGCCATAAACTGGCCTCACTGATTGGGTTTGGATAACATACCAGGCTAAAATGGGGCTATGTAGTTTGCAGTTATATCTGTTGTGCAAACTGTTGTGCAAACCTTTGAACTTCCCACTAGCACCCAGTTTCACACAGCTTGTACAAACATCAAGCAGAGATTTCTAAATCCAAAATTTGTGGCTCTCCAGAGGTGCTGGAAAACTCCCATCATCCAGTCGAGCACACCAGAGCAAAGAAAGCTTTCTTAGCTAATATACTCCATAACCTCCAGCCAACTTAACCATCAAGAAAACAGGGACTCCAAGCACCTTTTCAAGCATGTCTCTTTAGGGCAGGGTGGGCAATGACATGTGACTACCATCAAATCAACATGTTGCCTCTAATGTTTATTACATCCTGATCATTTGTCACAACTTTTCCTAATCTGGTATCCTCCAAGTGTGTAGGACTTCAGTTCTTACAATCATCTAGCCACTTAGAGGCTCCAGTTTGGGGAAGGATAATCTACAAGTATGAACAAACCAGGCCACTGAAATTGATAGCATAGATACCATTGATAGAATTGTGGCCTTGCTTTCATGCTTTGCAGATGGAGTTGGGAGAAGGCATTACTCCTAAATATAAGATTCTCTTACACTACTACTACTACTACTACTACTACTACTAATTTATTAAATATTTATGCTGCCCGACTCTCAGCAAATCTGTTATATTATGTAAAACTATCTTTAATCCAATGAGATCTAGAGGCAAGGCACTTCAGGAAATTGCTACTGAAATTAATGATCCCAGGGCCTAGACTAGAAAGGCAAAAGACACACCAGTGGCAAATCTCATCCTAATTGTTGCCAAGAAAACTACATGGATGAGTAAAATAAGTCACCTTCTTTCAAGATTTTATCTACATCTTAGTAACCCTCAATATATATATACTATACATATATAACAGACCCCTTAAATGGCAGTGCCATTCACTGTGGCTGTATATGCTCAACACCCCAACCTATGGCTTACTGAACTAACCCAATTACCTGTATTTGCATAAGACACTGAATCATAAACTGATCACACTAATGGGGTTCACACAGCTGCATCCTAACCAACCAACCACGCTGCAGCTTAGCAGGTTGTGTATTTCAACCCATTCGTGCTGATTAAGTTTGTCTCAGTTGCGTCCCCACTCAAGATGCTGCAGGCCACAATGGTAAGTGTGTACAGACGCGAGGAGCGGTGACCAGCTTTCACGAAGGTGCAGTTTGCTCGCCTGACTCCTACTGCCACCTCCACCGTTGCTCCCTGGAACACGTTACCATGGCAGCCAACCAGCACACACTACAGGCACTCTCCCTGCACGTCGAAGAGTCAGTCTTCTAGTTCTCAAGTCAGGAGCGGCTTAGAGCCCGCCCGTTTGCCAAACGCCGTTTCCCGCGTTCTCCTTTGCAAAAGGGAACGACCTAACACCTGTCGCCCTGGATGGCCACCTACTAACCAAACCACGGACTTTGTCGCTCTTCCCCGCAACCGCTGCAAAGCACCTTAGGAAACGCAGTTTGACCGGCCGCCTCCCGCCTAACTCAGCCCGCCTGCTTTCCGGCGCTGACGAAACAGGAAGCACCGGGCTCCTCCCCGGGGAGAGGTGCGGGGCTGGAGCCTCTGCGCTGTTGCGCGATGTTTCGTTTAGGAGTTGCCGACGTTTTGCGAGTTTGAGTTGCGCCTGGATGATTCAGTTTTCAGCAAGAGCTGAACCGTAGGCGGTTCCATCCTTCTCGCTACCTCCCGGCGACGTGTTGCTAAATTGCTACTTAATTGAAGGGAGCGGTTTTCGGAAGGGAGCGTGACGGCTCGAGACTCAGGGCAAAACTACCCGCCCCCACTACACCTTTCCTCCAGAGAGAGGAGGAGGAGGAGGACGGCGATACCCTTCACACACTCTTGGTTCTAGTCTTCCAGTTGTGCCTGCTAGCCAAGCGATTGTTGCAGACTGTGCCAAATGCCAGTAGCCCCTTCAAAAGAAAGCTAAAGGAAAACACAGCCAGAATTTTATTTCTTGCAGCCTCTAATATTCCCGAGTCTGCTGGATTTCCATAGCACCGAGTGAAGCTGGTGACGCCACCCCCATCTCCCCTTCTCCTGTGTAGCCTTTGTGCCATCTGTCCCCAACATCCATTGCTTCATCCTCTCACCCTTTTCCTCCCGAGCCTCCAGCCGCTAGCTTTCTCCCCCTTGTCTTGCAACTTCCATAGGATCTCATTCACCCCCCAGGCAAAAACCCTCCACTTACTAATGTTCAATTTTTATCTTGTCCTCAGCTTGGCCTGCCCCCTTTGCAGGGTAGTCTCTGACAAGCCATTCTTCCTGTGACCTTTAGCCTAATGAAAATTACACACCAAAAACTATTCATAGAAATGAGCAGATGGCTTAATGAACACTCGGAAAAGTATGTTTTACTGTTTGAAAGTTAATTTATTAAGCATACCATATGTTCTGCACAAGATGTCAAATAGTCTTTTATTGCAGTTTTTCATTTCCAGTTAGCATTGTACACAGAAATCCAGTATATTAAGTACAGCTATTTTAGATATATCGACAATTAGGATATTAAAATTATTTTATAATCAGTTTTTGTTCCAGTTGTAATATATACTATAGTGTTTTTCTTGCTTGAAGGTTCCAGCATAAGACTTTCCCTGCAGTACATGTCGTTCTTGAACAGGGATATCAAAGAAGTCAGCTCTCCAATTTCATGAAATTCCTCAGTTTGTGATCCAAGTCTTGATTTGTTACTGAAGCTGAATCCAACCAATTTGCTGCAATTTTGTCATGGTAATTTCACACAAAAAAATTCTATACGATGCTAAAATGTTAGCCTGCTAACAGTAATCTAGAGCGGAGGTCCTTCACTGTGGTAACCTGTTCTCTGTAGCCTCCTGGGAGCCAGACTGTGTAAGCTGAGGGGACTTTGCCCCTCAGTCTGGACCCTCTTCTCATCTATGATTTTATGGGGCAAAAATCCATATTCCACTCTTTAAAAAATTGTTTCAGAAAAAAAGCCTAGATTTAAAACTAGGACAGGAATCTTAAATACTCTTTACAGTTTGTGTAGAGCAAAGGTTTTCCCTCCCCAGTGGCTTTGCAAGTTGGAAATGATGAAAATATTGCTATGAAATGGAACTCCTGACATTTTCCCATTCAATTTCCCTGAACACTCAGAAAACAAGCCACCACTTTTAAAAAGAAAAGAAATAGCTGCTTGAGAGAGATCTTGCTTGCATGCTACAGACGGTTTTACGGGAAATGTAATATAGAACTTTTCCATGCCGTTTGGGAATGAAAAAAGTTAAATTGTACACAAACATTAAGAATGACACTTATTAGGAGAGACTGTACCCATAACGCAAAGGATCCATTCCTGGGACACCAAACAGTTACATACATACACTCATAATGTTTGTGCAAGGTCCTTGAAACCTAATTCCTGACAAAGCTGTGAAAATCTCACTGCAGTAGATTAAGTGTACAGGACGTTTTGCTGACAACAACCACCTCTTAAGATGGCATTAATGCTGGAAAATTGTGCAAGACAATTTTTTAAATGAGCTTCTGGAGAAGTTGTTTCTACCCAATAACTGCTTTCTAGAACTACTTAGTAGTGAAAATCCTGCTATAGATCACAGCTTCTGCAGATGCTTAAAAGGCTCAGACTGACCCTTTTACATCAATCTATAAAGCATTTCTGATTCATTAAAAAAGGTTAGTTTCTGAACATAATTACAATTGCATTTTTATCATTGTGTTTCCTTACTCTAATTCATTCAACATTTATTTTTTAAAAATGAGAAGACTACAATTACTGACTATCCTATGGCTATTTGGATTTGCCAAGTGCTTCAGATGCTCATAGGACAAATTATATTATTTCAAGAAACTAAAGTAAAGTACATTAAAAAGCAAATACATGTTATCACAGTTTAGCCTGCAATGGCTTCAGGTGTTTGTGGAAAGATTCATGGACCTAAAGGAAAAAAATGAGAGAGGGCATTAATTTTAAAGACATACTGTACCTCTCTTCCTACTAGGATAATACATTTCCCAATAAGCATACATTGGACTGCAGCTTTAGGTACTTCAGCTACCCACGTGTAGCTGCCATTAATAACACAACATCTAATGAAAAATAATGGTGTCAAATCAATTTCCACGAATGAGACAGGAAAAATGTCCAGCATTCTCTAATATTTTGGTAGAAGTAGGTTAACAGTAGCTTCCTTACCCAGATAGCTTCGGTTGCTATAAGTATCTACATAACCAGGAAAAATTATACAAGTATTCAAGAATTATATAAAATGAGCTGTTTTCTTCATTAGCAAAAAAGTATATAGGAGTTTTTATTGACATGGCTGGATACTTATCCACAACTTCATCAGTTTATGAAGAAAGTTGTAGATAAGTATAACCACATGTTCTCTAACTGTTCTTTGCCATCATCTTCAGTATGGAAATCCTGGCTTCTGTAAGCCAGTTTCCCATTAGATCTAAATAAGCCACAACAGGAATTCCTCCTGAGGAAAGAGCACAGAACCACAGTATATTTCCATAACTTCATAAAGTATAGTTTATGAATCTGCAGATGATCATTTGTATACATCTGCAGATTCCTAGACTATATTTGTGAACTGATTTATATATCTATACATTTTTACAATATTAGCTAATAATTGCTTTTTATTGCTATGTCTTATGACTCTTTAATGTCTGATTAACAAAAGCAATTCCTTACCTGTGTTTTATTTAGTGGTGATTTCTTTGACCACTCAAACATATCCTCATATATATTACCATCATATCGGCCAAGCACAGATCCAAGCACAGAATCGGAGAAATCAAAGGAATCCACTAGAGCTACTGCATTAGGACGGATAACAGCCAAGAGTTCTTTTATACGCTGGTTCACTTGAATTAGCTGGGCCTCTGTCAAAATGCTTCCCTGTTCAAAACAATCAGAGGTCTACACCTATAAGTGTTCATCAATTATTACCAGGAGAATTAACATAAAAGCTGATCTATCCAGCAAACAAATCTGATCTGAACCTTAATTCTAGATAAGGAATTAAGATTGAAAATGGGCATTGCCTGCATAAAAAATAAATGGTATCACTTTTCTTATGAATGTAGAATAAAAACACTTATCATGGTTAATATTCATCTACTTCAAACATTACTAAACTTTTTAGATCCTTGGAATGATTTCACACAATATGCCTTCCTGCCCCCAATTTTAAGAAGATCCAGATTTAGCAAAGCATCAATGATGTCACTGTGAACTCTTTTGTAGACATCTTGTGATATCTGATAATTTCATGAGAGTTCAACCATTTACAGTTTTTACCATTTTAATTTAATTTTGGAGGGCTGAAAGTGTCATTTCAGAATGCAGTGGGTTCCATGTTGTTACCCTTTCGGCTAGCACAATATTTTCCACAAGGAAATTGCAATTCCCAAGGGCAAAATACTGCTAACGTGTTTATTTACATTCTATAAATGACTGCCTTACACAGCAAAAATGCACTCAAAACTCAACTTAGGGTGTCTTGTTTTATCCAGGATCATCTAACCTTGCCTTTGACTTTGTTGTCAAATTAGTTCATCAAAAATGTCTCTTTTTCTCCCATGACTGATTAATTCACATCTCAACTAGATTCTCTCTCTAGCAGAGTTTTTCCAGCTCAAAGTAGAAAATATTTACCCACCTGCAGGAAGTCTCCAGAGTTCTTTATAATCCCACATAGTGCATACAATAAACACAAGTTGTTAAGGGCAGCACGGACAGCTGGGTCACCAATGTCTGAAAGTTTCGCTGTAAACAGTTTGACTACCACATAATGACAGTGTGCCTGAAAAGGTTATATGATAGATTGAAGTGACTTCAAGTGTCATAAGATCAACAAGTATCCAAAAGAAACTATGCTGAGGTGCTACTGACCTCAGATGCTCGCACTAGATCAATGGAAGTCCGGTTCCAAGCGTCCTCCTTGCTCTTCCTACGGTTCAGTTCAGCCTGAAAATTTTTTGCTGCAAACTCAACCATTCTGTATCATGGAAGAACACAAGCACACTTTATTCTACTTAGCACTGAGGCCATAAATAACATTCTAATCAATGCATTCAACTAGTAACATCTGAAAATTGGTATGGCAGTGACAAACAGTCAAAGCCTCAAATCTCCAATGCGTGACAAAATCAAAGTTTTAAAATCTAAACTCATTCAGCCTTTACTCCTAGCCTGTAAGGTGAACAATAATCATTTCCATTCTCTTACAAAGCTGTCAATGTGGATTTTGCCCCCTGTTTTCCAATACGATTAAATGGAAAACAGTCTCATTCTTATGGTCTAAATACTAGTTTTAATATTGCTGCCAGCTGATCAGAATGAATGAAACCAAGGCCTTTGAAGTGTTAGTAACAGTAACAGTGATAGCTGTTCTGGTTTACTTCCCCTTTTATTTAGTGTTCATCCTTTCACTTTCTGCTCTGTAATGTGTCTGTAGTAATAATATTTGGAACATCACTGCATGAGTAGGTATTTATTTCTACTCATAGGAATACTCCTATTCATTAGTCATAGACTGAGAATTATTGGTGATATACTGTTAATATAATTTGTATTACAACTTGACTGAATACTATAATTCTTTTCCCCTTTGAAGTTTTAGCTATATATGAGTTCACAGGAGAAAAGCCATTATGTTGATCTTGCTAGAACAGAAATTGATCCCAGAATATTATTGTACATAAGCAGTCTTAGTATCATTACTCTGAAACAAAGCAAGAATGCTGGAATCTGTCAGGCAGCATTGCCACCTTCTTTGGAAGACTATGAAAAAGGGATTTGACTCTTATTTATTTATCATATTTATTTTTATTTATCATATTTATATAGACACCCATCTCACACAAAGTGACGCAACAACAATTATTTCCTGGGTCAGTAGTAGTGTTTTTAAAGAGTTTTTCAGGGGTACTATCCCCCAATCAATTTTTGAAATAACTGAGCTTCCAAATCATACTTCTAGAACCTTATACATCTTTCTGGTAGTTGTCAGATGGTTTCTTGCATTCATCAGTCAAAGCTGGGCCCATTGTTTGAACCATGGTAAGACCATGTTAGGGGCACTGCCCAACCCCATCCATTTCAAATCAGCTAAATGTGAAATTGTCAGAACAAGGGAGCCAAGTGGACAGGTTGGTTAATAATAAAAATTTGGGAGACAAAATGAGCAGTTGAAACATTTCATAGACTTTTTATATTGACTTACCTTGAAGCTCTCAATTTATATGCCTCCACCAAACTGGAAGGATTGTTGACATGCAGTGTTGTGGGCCTAGCAGCCACATGCTGGGGCTGAATATGCTGTCCTGGTAGGTCATTCAGGTAAGACATCATGCCACTAACTAATTGTCCAGAACTAACTTGGGTATAACTTTTGACAAGGAATCTAAATGCAAAACAAAATTACTCCACATCATTCGATGGATCATCATAATAAATTACCTTATAATTTTAATTAGCAGTTGCACTGTGATTTCAAAAAGTGCATATAGGATAAAATTATGAAGGTAGAAAAGATGCCAATAATTAATGTAATTTATGACAGTCTAGACCATAAAACCCAGACAGGGTCAAAAGCTGCACTTACCAGAATATTTCATACATTGACTGATTGCTTGATTCTGTGCCATCAAGTCTGTGTCAATTCTTAGTGACCACATACATTTTTTTCATGATGTTCTGTCCCTAACCTCATCTTTCAGATCTTCCAGTGATGTGCACCTATTGCCGCTGTAACTGAGCCAATCGACTTTGGTGTTTGTTGTTCTCTTTTCTTTCCTTTCACCTTTCCTAGCATTTCAGCCTTCTCTAGAGAGCTAGGTCTTCACATAATGTGTCTGAAGTAGGATAATTTGAACCTGGCTATTTACGCCTCGAGTGAGAACTCTGGGTTGATTTATTCAATAATCCATTTGTTTGTTTTCTTGGCCGTCCAAGGTGTTCTCAGGAGTCTTCTCCCACACCAAAGTTCAAAAGCATCAAGATTCTTCCTATCCTGCTTCTTCAAAGTTCAACTTTCACTTCCATAGGGTATCACAGGGAATACCACTACTTGCATGATTCTGATCTTTGTAAGTATAGACACACCACGGCATCTGAATATCTTTTCCAAGGCCTTCATGGCTGCTCTACCAAGTGCTAGCCATGCCAAGTGCTAGGCATATTTCTTGACTGCTTGTTCCTTTACTGTTGATAGTTGATCCTAAAAGGCAGATGATATCTACCACTTTGATATCTTCATTATCAGTTCTAAGGGTGGTTGTTGTACCTGTTGTCATTAGTTTGATCTTCTTTATATTTAATTGTAGTCCCATTTTTCACTGTGCTCCTTCACTTTTATTAGTAGTCCTTGCAGATCCTTTGCATTTTTGGCTATCAGAGTAGTGTCTTCAGCATAGCTCAAGTTATTGATGTTTCTTCCTCCAATTTTAAAACCATGCTCATCTTCTTTCAATTCAGCTTCCCTTAATATATATTCAGCATACAGGTTGAATAATTAAGGGAAAGTATACACCCTTGTTGCCAACCTGGAGCCAGTCTATTTCGCCATGTTCTGTCTGTACTGTAGCTTTCTGACTGGTATATAGGTTTGTCATGAGGAAAATGAGAAGTTGTGGGATTCCCATTTTTCTAAGCATATTCCACAGCTTGATGTGATTGACACTACTGAGGGCCCTTCTATAATTAACAAAGCACACATTGACTACTTTTTGGTATACTTTGGCTTCCTCAATTATCCAATGTGCATCAGAAATAATATCTTGTGTTCCTTGGTCTTTTCTAAAGCCAGCTTGAACATCTGGCATCTCTTGTTCCATGTAGGGTTCTAATCTGCGTTGGATGACCCTAAGCATTATTTTGCTAGTGTGTGAAATGAGGATATTTATACAATAGTTTGCACACTCTGTTAAGTCTCCTTTTTTTTGGTACTGAAATATTGTGAGGGAATGTATCTATGAGGAGGAGAGTGATGTGGGAGATCAAGGCTATCAGGAAGGAGGGGCAGCATTCCAGCAGGGCAAAAGGCAACACAGTCCGCAGGGGGAGTGTGGGAAGAAT